CTGTCCTTGAACTCTGTATCATCCGCCGCTCTCAAAAAGTACGACACAGCATACCGATCTTCCTTCTGCACGCCCCCGATAGGAAGAACACGATGCAGCGCAGAGCGAAATCGCTTGTTAGATAGAAATCTCAACGTATCCGCAACATTGATGATCGCGTGTCCCTCGCGGGGCTGCACGTACTCCCACGCTCCTGTCACGGGGGACACGACCTGGAGACCCCATTGCGGCGCGAAGAGGAGGGTCAGTGTGCCGATGTCAGTGTGCATGTTCTGACCTACTTCGTTTAGGCTCTGCGTTCCTGGGGGGTAGTGCAGGAAGTAGAGCGTGCTTTTGGAGCGTGCGTCATCGCGGTGGTGGGTGTCTAGGCGAGATGCGCCTCGGAGGTTTAGCCCGTCTGATAGGCAGTCCAGAAGTAGTTTTAGGATGAAGTGGCATGACGCGTTGAACTGGTCGAATAGCTCGAGGTTTTCTTCGACAACGGATGGGAGAGCCCAGCGGCCGAGGAGCTCACTTCTTCCAATCTGATATGGTGAGAGATACTCAGCAAGAGGTAAATATTGTTCACAGTACCTTTAACGCTTCAAACCCATCTTTGAGTGACTCGACAGCCCCTGATTGATTACCAGTAGCTTTAAATCTAATTGGACACAAGATCAGTCGACTTAATGCACACACTATGCAGTGGGATTAACAAACCCATGTGCCAACGATACTGTTGGGGTTTTCAGCTTGTCCTCAACAGGTTGCGAGAACCAGCGCTTAGCGATCGCGCTCACCCTTTCCAAGTCTCTCCACAACTTGGCGGAGCACGAGTCCTGAAGATCGAGATAGAAGAAGCCATCTCTTTCACATGCCTTCAAAAGAGTATCGAGTTCTTTTGAGTCTTTGTCGAAGAGATTACTAAATTTTACCGTAAAGAGATTAGCTGTCTCGACGCTGTCGTAGGGGTTGGGCTGGGACAGCATGATGGAGTAAGTGATTGGTAATGGATCAGATGACACTGTAGGGATTGGATGATGCAGCTGGGCTGGTGAGATGTTGAATTGCTTTACTTCATTGTTTTAAGTATGAGGAAACATTTGATGGCCTTCGAGGTGATGAATGCATTTCAGCTGTCGCAGGCTCGGAACGGTGGTCTATAGATCAAGGTACTCATTGTCTAGGGCGCCATCACGAGAATTGGCATCAGAGCACTACAGGCCACAGGTCTCACTACAGATGGCGCTCCATTTGCTGCTCAACGGAACACAAACTTGGTACAATGTAGGACATCCACTCTAAAACGCCTTATTAAATGTCCCGAAGCCGCGGCACAGACCTCTTAGTCGTCGAGACACTTTCAACGTCACACAAACATTACACACGCATGCTAAGAGATTTGTAGAATGGTCACGGCGATCGTATATACCGCTGATAGCGGAGCTAACACGATTTGTTGGGACACATGCATAGATTTCCGATACAACCTACAAGGCAAATCTCGGGATCCGCGGGACAGGAGCACTTGTAATCCTCCGATGACAGAGTGACACGGAATCTGTTTGCGTAACACGAGGCCCCCGCATCTCGGTTCAGCTCATCTCATGTCGGGAAACGCACTGAGCGCCGCCTGTCCCCCCGTGTGCACAAACAGCACGTACCGACTCCCATCCAGCTCTTTGTTCTCGGCTTTGTGCAGAATGGCGCCCAGTGTCCTCCCCGAGTAAATCGGATCCGTGACAATCCCTTCAAGTTTGCCAATCAACTTGACGCCTCGAGCCGTATTTTGGTCCCAGGCCGTGTGCGTGCCGGTATTGAACCTCGTATCGAGGATCACGTCGTGAGGCTGAACTGCATCTGCGCCTATTCCGATGAGATCTGCTGTTCGTTCTGCTATCTCAAGGATCGTGGCTTCAAGAACGCCTTGCGGCTTGTTGTACGTGTCGATGCCGATTATGGACCGGGACTGACCTCCAGACTGGTCGGCGAGCTTGAAGCCGGCGATCATACCGGCGATGGTACCGCCCGAAGCCACTGGGACGACAATGGTGTCGAAGAATATGCCATGAGCTGCTTCCTGCTCCACAAGCTCCAACGCCCAGCGCGCGAAGCCGAGGCCACCGTGCACATGGGCTGAAGCACCCGAAGCAATGACATACGGACGTCCGCCTTGCTTCTCAACATCCGAAGCAACATCCTCGAGCGCGGCATTCGGCGCAGCCATCTCAGCGCCGAGAATGCTATTGACCTGCACGTTCCCAGCCTGAACAAAAGCCTCAGAACCCGGACCCCCATGCACCTGCGGTACAAGAATGGTCTTGAGCCCAAGATGGCTTCCGACAGCAGCGACCTGACGCATGTGGTTGCTCTGTGTGCCGCCCGTCGAGATGAGAGTGTCGCAGCCTTGGGCTAGCGCTGATGGGATGACATACTCCAATTTGCGGATCTTGTTGCCGCCCAGACCGAGGCCTGAGGAACAGTCCTCGCGCTTGGCCCAGATCTGGGCTTTGGTGGACGTGGTTGAGTGGATGTGATGCGTTAGATTTGGGAGTGGGTGGAGGGGAGATGGATGGGGGAAGAGAAGACGAGTGCGCTCGAAAGAGGCTAAGGGTTCTGGGAGGACGACCATGCCGATAGATTGCCAGTGTCGATTGATGTCAGATTAGAGTATGGCGTTGATTCTCAGCGATGGCTTTAGAGTACCAAGATCTTTTCTTTTACCCAAACACTTTCCCTTCTCAGCAGCTACTATTTATCTCTTCGCATGATATGCTCGATATATGCTACTCGTCTGTGACAACGACAAACCTATCGCGAAATCATAGATCTCGATCTTCACACCAGTCATGTCGGAATACCTCAAGCACTTCGCCAGACTCAACAAATCGTTTATTGCCAAGATGAATATACGATAATGGAGAACGGAAGGCGACTGCCCGTTGTCTAAGCTATACGAGAACATATAGGCATGTCTCGGGTGACGAACTCTAATCCCGCATAATGTCCCATTGGCCGGCGACCGGAGGCCGAGAGAGTTTTGAAATGCCAAGATACCGTATCTGCAGCTGTGTATTTTCGGGTAGATCTCTCATTAGTTGATTTTCGTAGCTTGACCAGTTCCAGCTAATCTGTTGCTGTGGTATCAGCGTGCACGCTGTTGTTTCTTTCACCAGCATGATCGCCAAAGTACTCGCGGCCAAGTCAATCACATACATCTCACCTGTCATTCGTCCAACATACATTTGTTACTTCTTCTCTGCCTATTCGCATCCAAAACGCTCCGTTCAATCCAATTCCAGCATTTCACCAGCAATCATGTCTGCGACAACTACCGCAGAGCAAGCCAGCCTTCATACCTTGAACTTCATTTCTCTGCTCAACGGAGATGTCACCGAACAGGATAACCTGCTGTCTGCTTGTGAAGACCATGGCTTCTTTTATCTAAATCTTCGCGATTGGGATTCTGGCAAGATGCTGCAAACCCTAGAGGATGCTTGGGTAGTAATGAAGCAGTGGTTTGATCAGCCGCTCGAAGAAAAGATGAAGACCGAGACTATATCTGATGCTCACGGGTAAGTTGCTACAATCTGGCGAGATCTGCTAGCACCATTCATCCTTTCACAGATTCAAACCACCTGGAGTGCAGTCGGGAGTCAATATCAACACCCGAGATGGATTCGAAGCTCTCAGAGTAAGTTATGGCATGTCCACCCCAACGCTAGCCGCTCAGCTGACACCCTCCAGATCAGCCGCGTTGGTCTTCTTAATCGCTCCCATCTCCCAGACGTAGTGCACAAGAACCTCCAACTCTTCGAAACTCTCCAGCTCTCAGCCCACTTCCTTCTAAAAACCCTCCTATCCCGTCTTTCCGACGCCGCAGGCCTCGAGAACGATGACCGCTTCGAGAGCTATCATCCCGACCATCTCCCCTCCAAGAGCACAATGTTCTTCATCCACCATCCCCTCAGTGACGTGCTGAACGACAAAACAGCTCGCGGCCACAACGCCCACACAGACGTTGGGTCGTTTACCCTTCTGTTTACAGAACAGCCTGGTCTACAGGTAATCTCACCTACTACTAATAAATGGGAATACGTCGCTGCCAAGCCAGGTCATGCGATTATCAACGTTGCTGATACACTTCGCTTTATTTCTAAGCGACGCTTTAGATCGGCTATGCATAGAGTGTTGCCTCCGGGGGGTAAGATGATGGAGGATAGATACTCGGCTGCTTACTTCCTTCGGGCTAGTGATAGTGCTGTTTTCAAGGGGATGGATGGGGAGGAAGTTACAGCGGAGCAGTGGTTTCTTAGCAAGTACAGTAGTTTTAATAAGACTATGGAGGAGCAGAGGGTTGATTCTGTTGCTACAGGGGGTATGGATAAAGATCTTGGGTTAAAGGTCTGAGCCTCGTAGTTAACTTTTCTAGACACGATAGGTGCTTAAATATGAACTGGATCAAAGAAGCGCGTAACAACTGTGAATAGCAACGGATTTAGGATTGCGGGCCACTGATACTATAATGCAATTATTACCCTCTCGCGTACGCTCAGTCCTGTTTGACCAAGGTGATTACAAGGTTCATAATGCGTGCAATCATGAGCCGAAGTCTGCTACGTCTGGTGTTCATCACTAGCTTCGTGTAGAACTGTCACTATCCGTTTGTGTTCCCACCAAACGATTATTGAAAGTGGCCCCAAATCAGGCGATGCCTCGCCAACTCTAACCCCACGAATCTCCCACTTCTCAAAACATGGCGTTGCCCTTTCTGTTCACCGACATACCCGAAGGCTGCTCAACCAGCGTCATAATTATGGTAGCACAGCCTTTTGGTCCCGTTCCCATTGCAAGATTTGCCGAGTAATACGTCCTCAGCCATTTCCCTGCTCTCTCATCCTTCCACTACAAACCCAGTTCTCTTCACACTTCCACTTCTATTTTATCTCTTCCTCAGCAGCTTTCGAAATATGCTTACCACACATTCCAAGTTCCCCTCCACGTCTCTGGGTTATTGTATCATGAATGGTAAACAGCCACAGTCTAGCAACAGAGGCAACGCTTCTAGCGGATTCGTCAATGAACAATCACCTCTTCTCTCCCACCACCGCGCAAAACCTCATCCTCCTCACCAGCCCAACGATACAGAGAGTGCAGCTCTGAAAGATGAGCCCTCAATTAAATATCTTGTCGCTGTTTTTGGCAGTATCTTTATCGGTGTTTTCCTCGCTGCTCTCGACACTACCATCGTCGCTACCCTCTCCGTCCCCATCTCCAACACTTTTGGATCACTGACCCTCGTCTCGTGGCTTGGGTCATCATACCTCATCGCAAACGCAGCTTGTCAGCCTCTCTCCGGTCGACTGACCGATATCTTCTCCCGTCGCTCAGGCCTCGTCCTCTGCAACATACTCTTTGGTCTTGGAACATTACTGTGTGGAGTCGCGACCTCGAAATGGGTGCTTCTCGCTGGACGGGTCGTGGCGGGCATGGGTGGCGGGGGTCTCAATGCTATTACATCATTCGTTGCCAGTGACCTCGTACCTTTGAGAAGACGTGGCGTTATCCAAGGCTTTGTGCATATTTGTTACGGCGTTGGCGCTGGTCTTGGTGGGTTGTTCGGAGGTTGGATCAATGACCACTGGGGCTGGAGGACCGCTTTCCTGAGTCGCGTGCCATTGATTACTATTTCCACCATTCTCGTTTCTATTACCCTACGTAATACTCCCACCAAACACAGTGATAAGTCGAGATTGTCGAGGGTCGACTTCTCGGGCGCTTTCACGCTGTCCTTGACTCTTATTCTACTACTCTTGGGCCTCAATTCTGGTGGAAGTCTCGTTGCATGGAATCATCCGCTGGTCCTGGTCTCCTTGCCGCTTTCAGTGGCAGCTGCCGGGGCTTTTGTTCTTGTTGAGTCGAGATGGGCCACGGAACCTATCATTCCCATGCACCTATTGCTTGATCAGACAGTACTCGCGGCATGTCTGATGAATTGCCTTGTGACTATGATCCTATTCATGGCTACATATTACGTCCCCATCTTCTTCCAAGTCAATGGCTACTCCACAACAGCTGCCGGCCTTCGTCTCTTGCCGCAAAGTGCAGGCACCGCTTTGAGTTCTCTCACATGCGGCTTCATAATGAAACGTACAGGAAGATACAGAACATTGGGAATGGCCGTCATAGCGTGTTCTGCTTTGGGCTTCGTTGGCCTCAGCATTATGACGATCCAGACACCGACCCCCCTCGTCTTGACCTATGTCTTCCTGGTTGGAGTGGGGTATGGTGGCATGTTATCAGTGTCCCTAATCGCAACAGTCGCGGCAGTGTCGCGTGACGATCAAGCTGTAGCAACCTCTGCCAACTACGCATTCCGATCGATGGGTTCCACGATTGGCGTCACGATTGCGTCGGTAGTGTATCAAAACTCGTTACAACGCGGTTTACATCAACGATTTGACAGCAAGGAAGGATCTTCTGAGATAATAAAGCGACTTCTTGAATCTTCAGATGAGCTAAAGCGGCTCCCTGATGCGTGGCGTGACGGCGTTTATAAGGCATACGAGATTTCATTGCGAGGAGTCTTTTTGACTGGACTCGGCGTGGCCGTCTTGGGGCTGATCGCAGCGAGCTTCATCAAGGAGCACAGGTTACACCAGACTATCTCTCGTACAGACGACGACTGATGCCTGAAGGATTGCTAGTTCTGATCACTACATGTTCTGGCTGGTGCATCAGAGGTATAATGGGCAGCGAAGTGTATATAACATGAATATGAGGACCTTCATAGCTAGCAGCTGTTTGTAATTGACTCCTTGAGACCGTCACATCAAATTCCTATCTGTTTAAGAATTTTCCTTATTTCGCCATTCATAACATTCCAACCTTTCATATGCTCTCTGTGTCCCGAGCCGAGATGCAAGGTTACGGTATCTTCACTAGACGTGCTTCGATATAAAGGCACCTGCCTCACCAAAAACGAAACAGCCTGTACATGCTCGTACTCGACAGCATACGACAGCGGTGTCCGGTTCCTGAAGTCCAAGCTTGCCATGGCGCCTCCGCTACTCTTTAAGAGATAAAGAATCTCTACGGAGCCAGTTATAGCGGCATAGTGCGCAGGGGAGCTATACTGCGAGTCCTTGGCGGTACTTTGATCATTGACGGGAAAATCACGTTCGAGGAGATAAGCGACCAGTGCAGGGTTTCCGGAAGTGACGGCTAAGTGAAGCGGCGGTGCATGGAACGTGCTGACCAGTCTTGTTGGGTTTGAATGTCTCTTAAAGTACGATCTCTGCTTGTGATGACGCCATATCGTCTCTACCATACTCTGGTTTCCTAATGCACATGCTGAGGACATGGCATGAAGAACGTCATCTTTCTTGGTCGATGGGAAGGCAAGTACTGCGTTTTCATGACCATATATAGCTGCTAGTTCTCGTGCCGAAAAGGTCTTTGCGTGTGCGATGACTGGTGGAAACTTGAACTTTTGCAAAGTTACGGGACTATCAGCCCTATCGTTTATCCAATCGTGCCCACCATTCGATATCAGCATCTTCACCACCTTGCTGTGGCCGTATCTTGCTGCAAGATGTATGGGCGTTATACCGCCCTGGGCGTACCAGTCCTTGTTTTTGTAACTTATTAAGAGCTCAAGGATAGCGTAGTGTCCCCAACTTGCTGCTAAATGTAAAGGTGTCATGAGATTTTCGTCCCGTATGGTGCATCGCGCTCCTCGTTTTAGGAGAGCTGCCGCGTCTCGTAGCGAGCCAACTGTCGCCGCTTCCAGAAGGGCCACGCTCAGTTCTTCCCGGCTGGCAGACTTAGGGATCTGTCGTCGGTCAGCACTTATTAAAACTATGAGGCAACTTGTAGCCTTACATGAGATGCCCCAGGAGGGTCGGAGCTGAACATCTGAGTACCGAGCCACGAAAGCCAGCGTGCCAGCTGGATCAGTGGGATTTTCAGAAGTCCTGTCAGGCTCGACAACGAATCAAATACTAGTTTTATCAACATCCGCAGCGAGGTTACAGACTCTCTTACCAGTCCTTCAATCAACGATAGGGCCCAAGCGCCAGATGATGTGAGACCAGTAATGCAGGCTTGAACTTTGCCCTTCACATTGATATCCGGTATGAGCAGAGAGCAGATGACCCCGCTCACTAAGCTTATCACAACCAACCATCCAAATGAAGAAATTGTTATGGCTTCGATGGCCTGTCGTCGAAAGCGATAGGAGAGTTTCTGAGAGGGAATTTTAAATGCACTGAATGAGAATCTCGCACCACCGGAGGCTCCGATTGATGAGCTATGGCCATATTCTTTTATCCAAGAATGAAGCTGATAGAAGGAACGTTGCCTCTGGCCTAGCGGTCTTGGTTGGTTCACCATCAGTGGGATGAGTAGAACGAAGGTTGAATGATTAACTTACAGCTTTAGAATATTTACGGGTCTTCCGATCGAACTGTTTTGCTTATCGAGCTCATTGCTGCAATTCTTGAGCGTGGAATCGGGAACTTCTTGTCTGAATCGTTTCCAAAGATTTCTGTCTGCTGCACTGTTGCCTATTGGTTGTATCTCTCGGGCACTCTTGTCGACCCAACTCAGAACCTTCTGAAATGAACTAAAGATGGAATGAAGGGCGTCGAGCGGGAGACCCGTCTCATCGCGCAGGTGATCACGAAACTGAGATATCGTTTGATGAAGTTTTTGACAACTCTCCATGATCGGCGTTAGGAAGTATGGCGCATCGTGCCATTGTTCTCGAGTATTTCTTAGCATGAACACAATTTGATCGCAGCTCCCAATCATGGCATCAACCATGGTGCGCAGTTGGTTGAGATTTATTGCTTCCATTTTGACGTAGCAATCGTGCACGAGTCAAACACAAACTCCGCTGCGAGAATAAATAATTATTTCATGGCTGTGTCCAGCCTTTTAGGCAAGACTGGTTTGAGGTGCTTATCTCAACATTTTCCCTTCAGCTTTCTGCAGTGCATAGATTCACAACTCAGTGGGTTGAAAACAAGGAGGCGTTGGGAACTGCAATTGGTGGGCGAGAACGCCACTTGTAGATGATGGTGTACTGGGTTGGGCCTCAACAGCCCCATTGAGCCGTGAGCATCAATCACATCAACGTGGCTTTGTGTGACTGGCTTTCACATGTTCTGTGGCTGATACAGTACCACACAGGAACAGAGCGTCAGACCATGAATGTCCGAAATTCGATTCTTGAGTGACAGAGTAGCCTATAGCTGGCTGGTATTTGAGAGTCCTACATTGATAGGCAAGCCACACTTCCTATTAACGGGGTCAACAATGGCAGTGACATGCCGCAGATACGGATAACGAATCATAATTATCCGCCCTTTCTCACTGTCACAAAGGCATCGGTCTCTTTCCCATCTAATTCCATTTCTTGCGCGGGGAAAAAGAGAAGCGATAAAAAGAAACCAAGCTGCCGTTTCTGACCCAAAACCAACATAAGCCTCTCGCTTGAAGCAATGCATCATGTGCTCCGATTTCTTGGCCGACATTAATAACAACCACGCAAAAGAATGCCGAATGGACTAAGGACCCAAGTTCGTGAGCGGTATAAAGGCTATCGCAGCTCTTGGCCAGCTCCTCCTCGTAGCACATTTGGAGTCTGATGTATCGACACTCGAGATCCCTGGCAGCTACAACAGCCATGGAAGTCTACTCACAGTTGGAGAGAAAGTCCAGAGCTGCTCAAGACTGTACCAAGAAGCGTTTGCGAAATCTGAACAAAATTTGGCCAAGCTTTCTGGCACTTCTTGGGAGCTTGCGTCTTCTCGCGGTTCGGTAAGTAGATCGTTACATCCGAGTCTATCCTAATCATGAAACCAGCTTCATCGTGTCACAGAACTGTTTCGCAAAGATAATCCAGCCGTTGCATACTCTTCTTTTCGAGATGAATGGGACCGAGTACATCGGTACCTCTGCGACGTTCACCCGCACGCGAGTGCATGTTTCGAATCTTGGACTGATTTGCTCTCTGTCATCCAAGAATTTGAAACGCTTGTCAATAATATGTCTAGTAAGCGTACATCCTATTCAAACGTCATTAGTAGAAGTGTTAACCGTATGATGCACAGCTGATAATAAGAAGCTTATTATCCTCTTGAGTGGAAAGTTAGAAAAGGCCAAAGCAGAATTTAAAGCACGTCGCTATCATAGTAGGTATCCATTACTTTTAAATGGTCTTTTATACGTTGATCAACCTTCGCCAGTTAACCCAGACTCCTCGGATAAAAAGGGTACCCAAGGATTTGACTTCACATATGCCATCCCACTCTTGATCGCAGTTTTAACTGTACTGCTCCTCTCTGGTATTCTCTTCAGAGCCATTATTCTATCCGGCATGTTCCTATGTGCACTTCTCGTCCTTCGGGAAGGGATGGAGCATTCGGGTTACAAAGCGACATTAGACGACAAAGACGAAGATCAAACTCGTGATCTCAAAATCGAAATAGAGCGTTTGACTCAGAAGCACAATCGTAACGTAAGTTATCTTCCTCCAACTGGCATTGCCTTTTTATAGCGCAAACTGAAAACCCATTCTCATCTTGCAGGCCACCATAGGTCAGGCGTTCCAGGAACTGGGCAGCTCACTAGCCGCTGCGATAGGCGGAGTGCGAGAGATTCAAGACTCCTACAGAGCTGTATCTGAGAGGCTCCAACGCATGAATGAAGAGAAGATCGACCGTTTTAAAAAAGTGATGAATAGGATCTCCTACATCATTAGTTGGGATGAGTCCTACAATGCCAACCGCACGACTGATCATCGGCCACGAGAATCTAAGGATGTATCGGTAAGTCAGCTACATCATCTCACATCGAAGTAATCCAAAAAGAGTCAATGGCTGAGGAGAATAAAGGAATTGCGTGAAGTTGCTGTCGAGTTGCGCCTGACGTTCTACATCATATTTGAGTGGTCTTCGCTTTACACACGAATCTCGCAAGATATATTCACCCCAGCGCTACGTGAAGTTCAATTCTCCATCTCTTTAGCTACGTTGATCAGTGGCATCGATTTGTCGAGTGACAGATTCAGACTGCGGCCTGCTCAACAAGGAAAATGGACTCCACGACAAACTGCACCACCACTCACTCGGAGCTTTATGCCACTCGCTACTATACCTTCTACATATTCTGCGGATTCGGATATCTATTTCTCTCAAACATATGCACCAACAGCCAAAGATACATTGACGCTGAGTCAGGTAGCAGGGCGCGCTGAGATGGAGCTCAACAAACTACATCGTGAGGTAAATCTCTCGTTTGAGGTCAGCTCTAGAACACCTAACGCTAACGCAATACGACTGACTAGGCCCAAGAAAGCGCGATAAGATCTGTACAAGAGAGGGTGACGGAGGTCTATACCACAACTATGCCAATATTAATCAGAGAACCCAGAGAAAGACAAAAGCACATCTTAGGTAGAGCTAGCGAGAGCGAGCCGAAACTGGAAGATTCAAACCAAAAGTCAATCTCTTTACGTCATAGGTTCTGGCGCTTCAAAACTAGAGATGGAGGTTAGATACTACTTAGGGTTGTCTTTAGTAGTGATTATTTCACCATAAAACTCGGCACACGCATCAGAAGTTATCAAAACTGGAGCATCTATAATCTAGAGGTGCTCCAATAAGTAGGATAGTATAACTGTCAGACTTATTAGTGCTAGTGACTATGACACTGTGCAAAACTAAGCTGATAGTAACGAAAAGAAGTTTAGATGTCGTCCTCATCCCAGGCCTTGGAGCAGACTCAAACAGGCCTCCTATCAACCCAGTCTTCCAATCCCCACAAATCAACCTTACACTCGCAAGAGGGCTACCTATAGTAGCCCTTATTTAGTCGAATAATATCCTTCATGGTCTTTGCCGCGTGGGCCGCTGTCTTAGGTGTCAGCTCTCCTCTAGCAGTCGCTAGGAGACTGAGCGAGTTGCTTAAATCTTTTGTCAGCCTCATCTCATCTTGGGATATATATCTAAGGAAGACCTACACATCGGAAGGACTTTGGGCCCGCCTCCCAGCCATCGCAGTACCATTGAGGACTCTCGTTCAGAGATCCACAATTCTCGTCAGTGTAGTAAGTACACGTGTAGCAAAGCTGCGCGCCACTGATCTGTGTCTTCCCATCGAGAGCAACAGAATGCACCTCCCAGACGTCACTCGAACAAGCATTGGGCCCGATGGTGCCGCCATTGGAGTACTCGGTACAGGTCGAGCCCGACTGGCCGCCGAACTTTTGGCATCCGTCGTAGTCGCCTTCGTAGATGCGGTAGTTGGTGTCGCCCTCTGCCTCGCAGTTGTCGACGTTCTTGTAGGCAGTCACTATGGGGACATTAGCAAGTAGTCTTTCTGTGTTGTGTATATGGCAACGAACAAACGTAGCCTTGAGAGACGACAGCTAGGCCGCCGATAATGGCAAGAGACAAGAGCATTATCTTTCGAGACTCGTAGATTAGACCGTAATTAATAACAGTTGAGTTTTCTGTTGGTTATCCTAAGGGACAAACGGTAGTGATGCGCCAGCCCTTTATATAGATATCAAACTTCGCATATACGTAGTTCCTCATACCAAACCAGGGCTTAACTCCTCCTTTGATGCTATCTCATGGATACAGACGTTGCAACACAAAAACAAGGTACTCAAGTAACAAACTTTGGAAATCATCGATGGTCCACCGCAGCCGTGCTTTGCTCCCAGATCCTACAAACTCTGAACATCCTTCGGCTTTACGGAACCCAAGAGTTGTAAAGCCGACTTAATGGCGAGCCCTCCAATCAGAGACCGTTGAAGACAACGCAGTGGGCCCAGATTTGCAGATCTTCTGTCAGGAAGGAAACAGAAGATTTGCCGAGTTGTGAGAGGATTATTATAAGATCCTTTGAAAGTATAAACTGCCAGGGTTAATTGCCTATGCCAGTGGGTCTCATCTAGATATCCCGCTAGTCTAGCGGCCATATTTCGGCAGATGAATCTGTAGGAAAAGGCCTGAATGACATATCTGAGGATACAGGGATCTAATTAATATAGAAAAAACCTGATTTAGAGTACGGTATCGTCCTCATGGAAGCCTCATTCTAATCAATAATACAGCAATTCTTTCTAGGTTAACTTTATGCATCTGAGGATTCATTCATTCTGTAATGGACGATTTCAGAACTACGTCAGGTACTGTACTAATACTAGGTTATGTAGGTCCAGAAAGCACCGCCAGAACTTTAGGAAATCAACAGTCTTCAAGGTACAAGGTATCAAAGGGAAGCTGGTAATGCCGACTGGATCACAATATACTAGTTTGGAAGGAATGATCAGCATGTATATGGACAGGTGTAGCAGGTGACGCCTGTGCCGCTTAAGCGAATCCCTTGCAAAGGAGCGGGTTACAAACTTTCGGTCAAGGTAGTACTCCGTATATGGTAACTCAAAGCAGTATCCTTGTAGTATAGAAAAACACCGAACCAAATTGATTTGCAGTTATCTGTGTGGCATATTATCCATGGGCAATGAACCCTGTGGAAGTGCTATGACAAGTCCGAAACCAACGACGGCGTAGGAGGTTGAGGGGTTAATCGTCCACCCAAATAAACTCCGTTACCGTAGAACCTTAAAACAAATGTAATGAGAGCCCGCTGATGACTATCCAAACTTCCCTTTGTTTTATAAGAAGGCCTATTCTAGTGCTCGGATTCCTTGTGCGTGTCGGCTGTCCTTGATCGATTTCCTCGGATTACTAGATAAGGCCAATCTCAAAGATGAAATTACTCATAAAAGGTCCGCAAATGCATTAGTCTATTAATTTTGAAATTACATAGGTAACAAGGAACTCCAAAGTACCGGTTCTGTAAGTGACGGGATAGTTTAAACCAAGTTAACGACAGTAGGCCTCCCTAAGCAACCTCTTCTATCCATGATACGAGCAGGACGATCATTCTCCGCCGCGGATTTTATATCTTGTCAAGCCCGGTATGTACCTCTATAATGTTGAATGAAACGAGAAATTGGTGCTTGAGGTTACAGATCAACCTGGAAGTGAGTCCGAAGTCTCTCACCGTAAGTGTAGAAGATCCACGGAACAGGAGTGAAGGCAAGCGTTATAAATCCAAGGACGCTGTTACCCCAGCCCAGCCCAAGCTTCGTGTACAGAGGCTCGGCTGCGAGGTCAAGGAAGGCTCCAAATGGCGAACGGACCAACAGATTGGCCGCCAAAGCAGACGCAGCTGCCTCGGCTCCAAAAGAATCAACCAAGTAAATCTGACCAGGGATGACGACAAAAAGGGAGCCAAATCCCACGATGAAGGTGCCGATAATAGGGACGATCCAGTGGACGACATTTTCTGTTGTCCAGCCATAGATGAAAAGCCCAAGGGGGGTAATTGGGCCGAGCCATTTCATGAGAAGAAGACGATCCTCTGGCCTGGGAGCCGCATTCTCGTTGCCCTTCTTGCGACCAAGGAGCTTGTCACTGAGGACAGAGAACATGAGCAAGCCTAGACCCATGCCTATTCCAAGACCGAGATATGCTAGTCCGGCGACACCTGGGTTAAAGCCGTAGACATCTTGGAAGACGGAGGGGAAGGTGGTGAAGAGTAGGAAGATGAGACCGAAGAGAATACCGGTGTAGAGCGATACCAAGAGGACGATTGGGGAGAAAATGAGCAGCTTGAGTGGTCGGACAATAGCGCGTGCCAGCATTTGACCTGGAGTCTCATCTCTGCTCAGCTTGGCTACGAGTTTCTCGTTACCAGTTTGTTTGCGCATTCGTGAAGCCTTCTTTTGCAAGATGACGTTGTAATTTGTTTCCTTCATGAAGGCAAATGTGACCACAGCGATGATGCCGGACTAGGATAATTGTTAGCATTAGAAATTCTCTACAGATCGAGCTGTGACCTACCAAGATAAGGAGGATGCGAAATGTCCATCGCCATCCAACGTTCTCGGAGACAAAGCCTCCAATAATTGGACCAACAACCTGATAACAAGTTAGGCAGTGAAATACTGTGAGTCAGTGGAGAAACGCTTACAGGTCCGAGAAGCGGCCCAACAGTGAAGAGAGCCATGGCCTTTCCTCGCTGCTCCTGAACGAACAGATCTGCGACAGTCCCTCCACCGATACTCATTGGGCCTGAGGCAGCGCAGCCAGCGATAATGCGAAAGACAAGAAACATGGCGACGTCAGTGCTGAAAGCACAGCCGATTGTGAAGGCTATGTACACCAAGTTGCAAAAGTAATAGACGATAAGTCGGCCATATAATTCAGACAGAGGTGCAAGGAGAAGAGGACCTAGTGCGAAGCCCAAGACGTAGAGACTGACTGTCATGGCTGTGACCGTGGAGTTGGTGATGTTGAACTCCTCGGCTAGTTCTGCTGCTCCTGGAGCAAACATTGTCGCAGCTAGGTTTCTACTCGATAGTCAGTGACATTCCATTAAATTAATTAGAGATGGTGAGTTGCTTACGCTGCAAGAGTGAACAGACTCACAATGCCAACATGTAAATTCTTCTGAGCCTTGGACCAATTGAGTGGATGCTCGGGATCATCTGGTCCATCCCAGTCAACAACATTGGGATTCGACTGAGGCTCATCGACCATTGTTCCAGTCGGTGACAAAGGCTTCTCTTGAGTCTCATTCCCAACATCCTCCCGAACACCAGCCTCCAAATGATCATCCTGAAAGCCTGATTGCGACATATGAGGCGTTGTCGACATGGTTGTTGCGACACAAAAAAAAACAATGGAGAGTATTTCCTCTTTGGACCAATCTGTCGCTTATAAAATGTGATATTTCTTACTGGGATGATAACGCAACAGTTGATACGTGCATGCTGCATGCGACGTGAAACTTGATTATCTAGAGTGGATCTGCAAAACAAAAAAACCTTCTCATGAGCATTTGAGATGGTTTGTTATATGGATGGGGGAATGTGATGTGTGTGGGGTACACAGCAAGTAAGCTGAGTGATGTTATGTCTGCAGGGCTGGGCTGGAGCATCGGGCCGGACATGGAAGGGGACGGAGGATCGGAGCGGAGGATCGGAGCGGATGATGAACAGATCCGGGGACTAACAGGGATTGTGCGTCAGATGCAGGACAAATACCGTAACTTGGCTTATGCCTTCTGGGTTAGATTCTCACTCTGTCAGCACATTATTTCTCAACGTGAAAGTTAGTTTGTTCCGACACTCCACGGCCAATTCTCACTCCGTTTGTTTACATTTCGCCTCCGAAATTACCTCTCTATCAATCATTTCTGTCCCTGAATCCATGGCGGACCAGGAATCGCGTCCTACCTCTATCACGGAGTGGGGACCAGGGAAAACACCGCAGGGCAGGGCTCGTCTACCGTCGAGCAGACCGCGCGAAAAGCCGCAGCTGTCATGCAACCTGTGTAGGAGGAGAAAGTACGTAACCATGCAATGCACTTTGCCGTCT